CCCAAAGAAACTGTTTGCAGCCCCAGCCCAGGGCCTTGTAGGCAAGTAGCATCTGATATATAGGAGAAGTTCTTCCTTTGTTATTCTTCTCATTCCAAGATCACGGTCCTGAGGAGCCTAATATTTCAACAGAGGCTGACAATCAAGCCAAAAAACTCTCTTGAGCCTTTGAAGATGATAGCTAACAGTATACTCTGGAATGTATAGCTGGTGTCTTGAACTACACAGCTTGATGTCTCTGTACAAGAAGAACAAAGGATTTGGGTGGTAGATGTCCTGTCTTCTCTGACTCCTGGCTATGGTTTAAGGAACTAGAGTTCTTACTAGGGAAATTTCCTGTGTTCTTTGTATAGTCTGCATACCCCCAAAATCTCTTTTGCCAAGTATGAACCCACTGCTAGGTATTTGACAAGAGTGTTTGTCTTCCACATTCTATCTTCCTATGTCCTCCTATGCCTTATATATGCTGTAAGGAGCCTGGTATGAGAGCATTGGCAGTTGGGACCAGGTAGCCTAAGTTTGGTGGCATGGAAATACTATGTCTGTATACCCATGGCAGGACTGGACACTCTGTAGGTCACCTTTGACTCCCAGCATCAAGATGACTGCTGAGGGTCCTGACCACATTTGCCTGATAGAATGGTTCTGCCAGGCAATGAGGTGGGCTGTGCTCATCTATGGGCCAATTTTCTGTCCTTCTTTCTGTGAGGAAATAAGGAATAGATAGTAGCCTCTGGTCCAAACATTATTTGGAATATGGCTCCAGGCAGCTTGTCCACCCTGGGATAAGCTAGCGTCTAGACAACTCATATGAGATCACCAGCCATTGCCAATCCCCAAGTCTCCTCAGCTACATAGGAGTACCTTGGAGATCTTGTGATATCTGGCAGGGTTGAGAGGAACAGACAATTGGCTTGTTACTCCATCTTGTCCCCATTACCAAAACAGAGTCTGTGTGAGTACATTTGAGCATTCACAAGGTCGTTGCCTCTTTGGGGTTTGGGTTCATTTCAGTTTGGAGGGGGGAGTATGTGTTGGGAGAGGTGATCACCAGATGTGTATACTTCTCATTTTCAGGAATCAGACACTGCTCTGGGATTTCCTGCCTCTTCCAGTGGGCTTGGGGCTCCCCCAGATATTTCACCACCTCATTTGTGAGTCCTTCATTCCTTCTTTATTGTTTCTTCATCATTCCCTCCCTTCTCTCCTCCTCTTCCTTCCTTCTCCCCTTCCTCCCTGCTCTCCTCTTCCTCCCTCCCATGCTGATATCTGCACTCTATTCTCTTTACTTCATTTTCTCTCCAACTTCCCTTGCTTTCCTCCTTTCCATATTTTGGCTTTCTCTTTGTTTCCTTTCTATTTTGTTGTCCTTTAGAAGTCCTGCATGTGGAGTCCAATGTCCTATATATGTTAGCCAAGGCTACAGCAACCTAAGCAGGTCCCCAACATAATCCTAGGGTTTGAAGATAAAGTGTGATCTGCAGGCAGGGCACCATTTCTGTGTGAGCCTAGTGGATATTCAGCAGGATTAAACAGAGTGAATATTCAGCAGGATTAAACAGAATGTAGTGGGCTTCCTTAGGGTGACTCTAGGGAAAGGTAGCCATAGTCAAACAAGGAATGTAACAGGGAGACAGAAGAGGTGTCACACAGCCTGGCTTCATTACCATTGCTCCTCTGGCCAAACCCAACAGAAAAACTGACTCACAGACAGGGCACCACTCTTAGTGTCTTCTCCTTCCTGGGCCACCCTGCTCAAGATTCCCAAAGTATACCAAAGTTGAGCTCAAAAGGTTTGTTCAACTTAGTGATGTCTATGTCTACCCTAAGTGGATAGCCTATCTGTGATCAGTCAGTGACATAAGATAAGCTGGTGTGTGTGTGTGTGTGTGTGTGTGTGTGTGTGTGTGTGTGTCTGTCTGTCTGTCTGTCTGTCTGTCCAACAAAGGAAGGGAGGCAATAGAGGATCCAGAACTCATAGCAAAGCATCCTGCCTCTGGTAGATGTGGAACATAGCTCTACGTTCACAGAATGAAGGACTGTTATCTAAAGTGTGTCATTTAGGTACCCTTCTCTCAGGAGGACAGTGGGTGTATCTGCCAGATAGTACTGGAATGACACAGGAGTGGCATCCAGCCCTATCAAAAGTTGGGTGTCTATGCTTGGTGGCCAGGAACTTTGGCTGGAAAATATGTGGAAGGTTACAGAACCAGTCCATAAGAGTAGTTGGCCTTGGGCCTATGAGCAGTCAGAAAAGAGCTCTCACAAAGGAGCTCATTTGGCATCATTAGAAGAGCTCCCCAGCTGGGAGATGGCAGAGATGGAGACTTTGAAAGTAATGGCAGAGGGTTGTCCAGAGGAAGAAGGGAGAGCTGCCCTTTTCCTTTGGATAGTACAGTATAAAAGCCTTAAGATTTACTAAATACACCGCCCAACAGAGGGTGAGCTCTCAGGTTCCCCTTTCTTTCCTGACCTTGGTGTCAGGCGAAGGCCTAGAGATTTAATTCAATCCACACTCCAACTGAGGGCGATCTCTCAGGTTTCCTTTTCTTTCCCAACCTTTGTGTCGGGCAAAGGCCTGGAGACTTAATCATTCAATTTTTACTTTAGAAGTTGCCAACACCCGGCTTCTCTATTTATTTACCACTATGCCATTTCTTTTTCTCTCTCAATCCTACGTATATTTTTAAATACACTGTAACCTTTAGAGGTTTTTCTTCAAGTCTGACTTTACTATAAATCTTTATGTTTTTCTGGCCACGTGTCTTATCTGTTAAAACCGTGGCTGTTTAAATGCTGTTTTTCCAAGATGGTGGGCATAAGTGTGACTCCAGCTCAACACCTCTGTCTATGCTGACACCCAGCAAAAGCTGCCAGCTTGGAGATGTGGTCACTGCCACTAACAGATGCTCATGCATACCATTCAATTGTTAGTAGAGCCTCTTAAAAAAACCTTGCTTTTTCCACTTATGCTGAGTCAGGAAGACTCCCTTAAGTGAGCCATGTGAGTATCTGCTTGTCTCTAGCTTAATTACAAATATCGGGGTATTCCAGGGGGAAGTGTAGGGAACCACATGACCCGCCTCCAACTGTTCTGGAACTAGCTGGTGAACCGCCTGAAGTTTCTCTGCTGGTAAGGGCCACTGTTCCACCCATACTGGATCATCTGATAGCCATGTGTATTGGGGCTGGTGGTGCAACAGTGACCCTTATCAAAAATGCCCCAAACCCTCCCTATCCCCCGGGGCCCTGGTATCGAAAGGGAGGGATGCCACCAGGCAAACCTCTGCCTACTGTAGCATACCTAGTCCCCTTCCCTGTTCTTCAAGTAACTTTTTTACTTGATACTGTAATACAAGCTTCCCGAAACTATTCCCCATTTTTTCTTTTCCTATTTTCCCCAACCCATCCCTGGCTGGCAAAAGGGATGACCCTGTCCACTTACCTTGCTTTCACATCTTGTTGTGACCTCCAATTGCCACGCCCTGCTATGCAGCCTGTGTCTGACAAAGTGCGGAGGGTGTCAGGATTGATGACACAGAGACCAGTCAGTGGTGCAAGAAGGCTTCCAGAAAACTTCAAGAAGCCTCTCAAGAAGGTTCCACTTTATTCTTACCCTGGCTGGTTATTATATGCCCTGACACCAGAGGCAGCAGTGGGGGAGTCAGGAAGAGGCAGTTAGTCATTGGAAAGGTCAAGGTCAGGGTGTTCCCATGGGTGAGCCCTTGTGAAAACATCAGGAACTTATTGTTCCAGTAAACATGTTTTTACATACACTGGATTGTTTTTTGGTAAACATGTTTTCTACCGGTTACAGCTGCCTGCTCCCAGGCTGATGGGGAAGTGGGCCTCCGGCAAAGGTCTGTTGTTCCCACAGGAGGTGGTCCTCTGCAGGTTCAGTCCTTAAAGACACAAGGCTTCCTGTTGGGTAGTGAAGAGCATTTCACTAGGCAAAGTGGTAATTCCATGAATCTAGTGAGGTCTAGCCTTATTGGACATGGACACACACACATGACCAGATGTTGAAACACCTTCCTTCTCCTGACACCTATACTCATTTTGTCCCTGGCTGCCACTGTGTACTGTGCTCTGGGTATAAAGATGAAGGTTAAGTCGTTAGTTTCTTTTGAAGATGCCCCAATTGCAGTAAAAAAGGTATTAGTGGTTTATTGTGGTGCTGGCATCCTAGAAGGCACCAAGAGGAATGGAGCTTTCATTAGAAAGCCTTTCTTTATGATTGTGCAGGGACTCAGAAATGGATAGATGGCTGGGATGTACATAATAAAGAAAATTGATGTCCTAGAGGGACTTTGTGTTCTTTGGAGTAAGGAAATATTACCAAATATCTCTGGTGGGTATAGGTGCTTCAGGTATAGGGAGATATTGTCTACACCCAGTGAGATCATAATGGTTGCTGGGTAAGCCCAAAGAAATGGAATGGGACTGCACTCCAGGACCTGGTAGGCAAGTATCAGCTGAAATGAAATAAGGGTTTTATTTTGATATTTTCTTATCCCCCAGATTGTTGTTCCAGGGAGCCTCCACTTTCAGCAGAGGCTGAGCATGCCATCAGCAAAAAAAGCGATGCAAGTCATGGTTTGTTGTGCGATATTTTTTATCTTTTTTCTTTTTAGGGGGCCCACCTCCCAGCTTCCAAACAAAATCACTCACGAAGACTTATTCTTAGTTATGAATGTTCTGGCTTGTTTCTTGCTAGCTTTTTAAAATTATCCCAATTACCTTTTGCCTCTGGGCTTCACTCTTAGTCTGTGGATGGCTGGATGGCTGACCCCTGATGTCCTCCTCTCCTTGTTCTCTTGCCCCTCCTCTTCTTGTTTCTTCTCCTATTTATACTCTGCCTGCCAGCCCCACCTATCCTTTCTTCTGACTCACTACTGGCCATTCAGCTCTTTATTAGGACCACCAGGTGTTTTAAACAGGCACAGTAGCACAGCTTCATGGAGTTAAACAAATACAGCATAAACAAAAGTCACACACCTTAAAATAATATTCCCCAACATTTCCCATTTTGTCTAAATAAAAAGGTTTTAACTTTAACATAGTAAAACTATATACAACAAAAACAGTTATCAAGAATTAATTTACAATATTCAGTCCATTTGCATTCAGCAAATTCCAAGAAAATACATTACCTAGCTTAGTGTATCCAAAGTTTTATACCTAACTTACTTTCTATCATATCTAAGGAAAACTGCAACTATTACTATCCAGCCTCCAACTCTATGAAAGGCAGTAGAAGGATATAATATTATTTAAGTAAACAAAAAGTGCATTGCAAACAACTTCGAAAAGTTCTAGAAATGACAGAGACATATGAGTGTCTGTACAGTTACCCAAAGTTCTTTGCAACATTGGGGGCATCTATCTTTAGCCTACAGGCCCATAGTAGCTGGCAGACTTTTCAATGAAGCAGGAAATTTGAAAGACTGTCCCACCTATATTTGCAGTTTGTCAGTCACTTTCCTCTATTTTCTGCAGAATGTCTGGCAGTTTCTTCTGTGAAGCAGGAACCTGAAGGACCATGCTGCCTTGTTTTGATGAAGTTATTCAATTTCCTGTGGGCCCTGCATGTCCAGTTTATACAATGTACTGTCAAGCAGCCCAGGCAAGAGCAGCTTATTGTCCAAATGGTTAGCCTTGTCACAATGAAAGCAAACTCCTACGGAGTTTCTTCGATGCCCATCATCCTTTTATGAAGTAAATTGCTACTGCCCGAAACAGATGTGTCTCGCTGTGATGAAAGCCCTAAATTAACAAAACATTTTAAATGTCACATTCTGTAGGTGTTTGAAAGTTTTGAAGACCATCTATCTAAAATACATCAATTTAACCTAGAAACACACCTAGCATAGCTACAAAAATAGTATTAATGACTAACTACTAACCTATGTTTCTTGATTTGATTATCCTATATAGGTTATAATAATAGCTTTCAAAACTAGAACTTTATCTTGCATTTTAAAATGAACTACATAGGTACAATACCTTAAACAAAAGGAGACCCACATATACAACATGTGGTAACAAAAACAACCTTAAATTTGTATCAACCTACAAAACCCTTTAAACAAGAGTAGAAACATATATACAGTGTAACAAAAATAACTTTAAATTTATATCAATATACAAAATCCTCTAAACAAAAGTAGAAATATATATACAGTGTGTTGTAACAAAAATGACCTTAAATTTGTAGCAATCCTTACAAATACAAAATATTTTAGATCAATAGTTGTCTCCTAATTTATAAAAGATTCAATGATCTACCTTATTACTTAGCAGATTCAACAATTACCCTTTCATCCTATCAGTCCTATATCTCCCCTCTCTTTTTTTTTTTTTTGAGGTAGAATCCTGCTTCCTAGAGAGGCTGAATAAGCAAAGAGCTCACTTACTTTACCTCCTCAGGTCGCCCAAGAAATCCTTGTGGTTGTTCTCTCCCCACCTTATAAACCCTTCTCCACCTGGCTCCTCCCTACAACTTCCTGTCAGTTTCTGGAGCAGCCTCCTGACCTCAGGTGAATCTTATTTAATCAAACACATCTTTGCTTCATTAAACAAATGTTCCAGAACACTAACAAAAGTAACATACCTTAAAATAATATTCTACAACATGGGTCTCTGGGCAGGAAGACCAAAAGTCTTGGCTGGCAACTGTCCTCTCCACTCTGATTCCTGGCTGTGGCATAGGGAACTGGAGCTCAACTGTGCCCTTTGTCCTCTGTGCACCATGGGGTCCACTTCCAGGTAGGAATCGATTGCAAGTCCTCAGACAAATTGGGATGGTTGTCTCCCCTGGGCCATCTTCCCACCTACTTTGAGAGTAAAGTTTCATTGTGGCATGGCTACATAATGCCCTGCCTGGATCTCACCATTGTAGTTATTTCCCATACCCTTGTGTTGTTCTGGGGACCTGATTTTGTATCTTTGGCTTACAGGTTCAAGACAGTTTCTGCAGAATTCCTGAAGGACAGCAAAAGTACAAAGGGAATAAAAAGAAAACCAAAAGACCAAAATGCAGAAAACAAGGGGGAGAAAATGAAGCAGACAAAAGACTGAGGATCTAAGTCTGAAAGGGAGGAAGTGTGAAAAGATGGAGATAAGTAAGGGATAAAGGGAGAGTAGGATGGACAAGGGAGGATGAAGGAAGAAAAGATGAACTGAGTGACAAATTTATGATCTCTAGGTGGAATTTCTGGGGACCCGGAAGCTTATTAGCAGAGAGACCAGGATCCCAGAGCAGTGGCTGATCCCAGGAGGTAAAGTATATGTGCAGGTAGGTGTATAAAAAGATAGAAGTTCAGGGACAATTGGACAGGTTCTGTACCTTGACAAACAAGCTACTCACCGATCTGAGTCCCAGGTGATGAATCCAGGGTAGGGTCTTCCTCGTCACTGTGTCAAACATGGCCGCCACAAGATCACAAAGCCCGTATTCCTGACTTTATTACTCTGAAGTCTGTGATGCCTTTTGGGCTGGCACTGGCTGAGTCCTACCCTGGGAACAAACCCTGGCTTACCCCAGAACTGTAAAGCTGTCTAGAGCCCCCTTTACCTCAGTATTTGTCTCGGAAGCCCCAGGCATTCCTTACCCACTCGCTCCCAGACCCACAAACAAAAGGCACGTTGAGGTGTTGGTGGGAACAGCAAAGCAATTCCGCTTGATGGCAGTAGAGTACTAGGAATGCACAGATACCCTCCTTCCAGGCTCACTCCCTCCGCCCTTCTTTCAGGAAAAAAAACTGAAAAATGTCGATGTGATACCGAACTCCTAAACATCTTGGCTATAATTTGGCTCCACATAGCCAGAGAAGGGCTTGGAACATTACTTTATGCATCTGGCCTGGAAGGTCTCAGACCCTGTAGGAATCTCAGTCTCAATATATTGAGGCATGCTCCACAAGAACAAGGTCCAGCTTCAAGGTATAAGGGCCAAAAACTGAATAGGGACCTCCTTCACTAGATGTAAGAGTCAGGAGAAACCACAGAAACAAAATCTTAGGCATAAAATTGTCCTTGGCTAAAGACAGTACCACTCATCCTACCAAAAACACTCTAGCTGATACATGGGCATCAAGTCTGACCCATAGAGTGACCAAGACTTCCAGAGGCCTGCCACCTCCAAGACTGAACTTCCAGAGGCCTGCCACCTCATTGTTGAGACTGTAATGCTCAGATGAAAAGGACTCTACCCCTTTCTCCTCCAGACAGCCCTTTCAGCGCTTTAAAACTCTACATCTTGGGCTGGAGAGATGGCTCACCCATTAAAGGCTAGGTTCACAACCGAAAATATAAAACTCTCCATTTTTATCAAGACCCAGCTCAAGGGGTGCTTTTATGTTTCTGATAATGGTGATTGAAATCACTGTGATTGGCCTGACTTCTCACTAACCTGAGACCACCCACAATTATTGACTTATTCTAGAACCTACTTCTGGAACATACTTTCCAGCAAAAGGTCCCTGACACTATGTCATAAGCAAAGACATCCACCCTCTCACAACACCAGATGCTACACTTCTATGATCCCAACTCTATTGATGCACACACCTGTCCTTAAGCTGAGGGCTGCTTCTCTAAGGGCTTTAAGTTCAGACCAACAACCCTTTTGTGTGTGAACTTAGGTCTATCTTCCATACCTACTTGAGGTGTGATGCTTTGCCATGGTGTCTGGATGGTCAATGGCCTTCCTTCTCTGAAGCAGACACCCTCAGAATGCACTACTTGCTAAAGTTGGACCTCACTCTACCCATAATTCCTCTAATTGATGACAGACCAGCTTCCTGCTTTTGGCAGCTGTCACATGGTATGTGTGTAGGGGGGCAACTTTCTTAACCTTGATCCTGGATATTCTCTGGTACTCTTGAGCAAGTTGACCTAGGAAAGAGAAGCCTCCAATGGGAATAACCTGCTTTAAGAGCATTTTATAGCTACTGGTTTGGCCCAGGAGGCACTGGCATTGAAAACAGTCCACATGGCACCCTTCCCGTGTCACATCTACTTTCCTTGTTGACTCAGAACCACCCTCAGGAAGGACTCTGCCTTCTCATTTCTTTTCACAATCAGTTAGCTCACACAAGGATGCTCCCCCTGCATCTTACTGTTGCAGTTATTCCCGGACTCCTGGATTGGGCTGGGGTCCTGGGTTTCTTCGTAAACTCTTAACTAATAGGTAAAGGACATTGGACTCTTCATACAGAACTTCTGACAACAGCAAAAGTACAAAGGAAAAAAATGGAAGTCAAAATACAGAAAAGATGGAAAACTAGGAGCAATAAAAAGAAAATGAGGCAGACAGAAACAGCTGAGGACATCAGAATAGGAGGCAGGGTGTGAGAGAAGAACAGAAGGACGGAAGGGAAGAAGGAAGAGTTGAAAGGAGGAAAGAAGAAAGGAATGAGGGAATGAAGATCTGACAGACAGATTAATGACCTGTTGGTGGCATATCTGGGGATCTCCAAGCCCATAAACAGAGATAAGAATCCCAAGGCAGAGTCTGATTTCAGGAAATAAGGGTAAATACAGTTGAGAGTTAAAAAATATATATATCAAGAAGCTGGGAATCCTGTTGTAACCACATGCCTAAGGACAGACTCTGATCCTTGATGCTATGACATATTTGCACAGTTTCTGACTCCGGGGCAGAGGGCTCCTCCCACCCTGACAAATATGACTGCCACAGGAAACCCATGCCCGCACTTCTTTGTGTTGCTAGGTGATTGCTCTGGGGGTACAACGAGCCTCCAGGGCGGGCAAATGGTGAGGTCCTCACCCATTATCTGAATTGAGCTAACTGGAGCCGCCTTTGGTTCTGTGTTTGGGCCACGTTCCTCATTTATTCCTTGCTCCTTCACCCTAGACTTGCTGAGAAACAGCACGTTGATGTGGTGGCAGAAACATGAAAGCAATTCCACTTGATGGCAGTGTTGCTCCAATAATGCCAAAGGACCCTTCTTCCAGGGCCCATCCCTCCGCCCTCCGTTGAGGAAAAAAAGAGACAAAGACAGAAAGAAAAAAAGAAAGAAAAAGAGAAAACGAGCCAACAAATTGATACTAGACCCCAGGACAGCTTAGATCAATCTTAGACAACTCTGAATACAGATGGGTCTTGGAGCTTTACTGCATAAATCCAGCCTGGAGGTCTTTCAATCCTCAACAACTGCAAGTCACACTCTCAAGCAAAAGAACCACACAGGGAAATCCCCATCACTACATGCAAGAGTCAAGAGAAGCCCCAGAAGTTAAATTTTGAGCAAAAACAAGTCTTCCTGCTAAGGATGGCCCTCCCCCTCAAAGCCTCATAAGAACATTACAATCAGCACATGTGCACAGAGCCCTCAGGCGGCAACTTGACATTGGGAGACAGCAGTACCACATGTAGTGTCTAGGCCTCCCATGTGAGTACAGACAAAGCCTGGCCACAATCAAGGTTCTAGTTCAAGGTCACCTGATGCCACTCACACCCTCACACACCTGCCTGCTGAAAGAGAGTGTAAAGAGGACAGAGAATATGGGCAGATGACATGAGACAGACAATCATTCACCACCACCCCCACGACCCCACCCCTGTCCTAGGACCAGCAATGGCTAATTACCCAGCAGGAGGAGGATCCAGGGAGGCCTGAGGACAAAACCATATGGGAAGTTTCCTTGTGCCAGCTGCAGTTCATAACCCCATGGCCAAGAGTGAGAGCAGAGAGGACAGTCTCTGCTGAAACCCTTTGGAGGTTTTGGCCCAAAGGACCCAAGCTACATTCCTAGATACTGTCTGTGAATTCATGGTCATAGTGTCAGTCATATTCTACAGTACTTGGGTCATTATGACTTAGAGGCCTTCTCAGCCAATGCTGGAACTATAGGCTCCCCAGAATCCTGATTTGGGGAATAGAAAATGTCAAAAGAAGAAACTGCACAATTTTACCTGATACCTGCATAACATACTCTAGGGTAGGGGTCCAAACCATCTCTTTGATCTCACTGCCTGTGAACTTGAAGACTGGCAACCTGCATATAAAATACTACTTGTACCCACTTGACTTGACCAAGGAGGCACTAGTACTGAAAGCAGATCATGTGGTACCTCTCCTGTCTCACATCTACCTTCCTGGTTGACTCATCTTCATCCTAAGGAAAGACTCTGCCTTCTCCTCCTTCTTCCTGATCGCTCATCGAATCACAGGACAAAGATGCCCACCTGAAGTCCACCCTGGAATGCATGTTATCCACACGAGTTTATTCCGCATAATGTGGATTGTGCTGGGGACCTGGCTATGATGTTGAACACCTGGCTGAAGGTACTGGGCACAGAACTCTAACCGAAGCCCTCGTCAAGGACAGCACACTATAAAGGAAACAAACAGTAAGCCAAAATGCAGAAAAGACAGAAAGGAAGAAGAAACTGAACGTGAAGCACAGAGAGCAGACTGGGGATGTCAGCAGGATGAAGGGAGTGGAAACGGAGAAAAGGGAGGAAAGAAGGGGTGCAGTGAGGATGGAAGGAAGGAGAAAGGAAGTATGACGATATGGAAGAACTGACTGAGGATAGATAAACACTTGGTTCTATTTCTGGAGACCCCCAAGCCCACGTACAGAGTCTGGGATCCCAAGGTCAGAGTCTATCCCAAGGCCAGGGGTAATTATAGGTGAAGGTTCTAAAATAATCACGAAAACGGGGAAACGGGGAATGACAGGCACTCCATCCTTCTCTGATCATCGACACTTTGCACAGATATCTGCTTCAGGGCTGCTGACTCCTGGGCGGAGAGCTACTCCCCTGCCTGACAAAGACGGCTGCCACAGGAAATCCAAGACTTTACTTCCTGTGTCGCTCTGGTTATTGCTATGCAGTACAGCAAGCCTCGGGGATTGCAGTGGTGAGGCCCTCACCCGTCAGCTGGACCGGGCTAGCTGGAGCCCGTATTACTTCAGTCTCTGTACCAGAAATCCACAGTGTATTCCTCAATCCCTCGCCCCCGGACTGTTTGAAAGAAAGCAAAATGAGGTGTTGGTAGGAACACTAAAGAAATACCGCTTGATGGCAGTATTGCAACATTGACGCAAAAGTACCAGTCTTCCAGGGCCTCTACCTCCTCCCTTCTCTGAATGAAAAAACAAAAGGTGAAACTATTTGGCATTGGATTCCAAATGGGTAAATTCAATCTTGGCTTCTTTTCCCCAGAGGTGGGCCTTGGAGTCTTACTTTATGAATACTGTCTGGGAGGTCTCAGACCCCACAGTTTCTCCAGTCCCACTCCAACACAAGGACATGACATGCTCTCAAGACCTAAGAACCAAGCACCAATACTAAACCGGCAACCTGTAAATTGGAATCATGAGTCAGAAGAAGGCATAGACCTGCTGAGACAACACACCCAAGGTGATGTCAAGAACAGAAAAGCAATTCCGCTTGATGGCAGTGTTGCTCCATGAATGCCAAGGGACCCTTTCTCTGGTTCTCTCCCTCCACCCTCCTCCGAGG